TTCTTGATCAATTGCTTAATTCATCAATACCTCATATCAGCTCATCTTGCAGTGTCAGACTAGTGTATTGAGTGACATGATTTAAGAGTTTGTCCAATTATCCAAAGAATCAGCAGCTTCCCTTCTGGATTAATGTTTAAACGGGTCCAAAACAACAGCGTCTGTCAGAAAGAAGCCGGGGAGATTTTTGAATGGAATAACCTTGTAGTAACCCTCTGCAGTGAAACACAACAGGTGGTCATCCTTCTTTGTCTGCTGCAACGGAGACAGGTGCTTCCGACTATGGGGGAACAGATCAACGGCGACCCTGGACAATGGAGGGGGAACAAAGGGAAAAGGAGGTGTGATTCACGCATGGACACCTCCAGCTCAGTCCAGCTTTGTGTCAAATATACAAGTGCGTGAACACCCAAATCTTTGAGTGTAAAAAGCAGTGTTAGAACTCAAACACACAGTTCAAACATCAGTCTTCTCTGTCTTCAGATTGTGAAGGAAAACAGAGGCTTAAGAGCACAAACAAAAAGAGACTCCCTTTGCATTTAGAAACGTGTTCCTAGAGTTTAAAGGAAAGAGAAAATGGGGAAAACATTTTTACCTAAACTATCTTCCTTCATTTCAGTTTGCCTAGGAAACTATGAAGCAATCAACTTCATAATGGTTACTAATGAAAGAAATGTAGATGATTCATCCTAAGGTATTGTTTCTCTCTGATTCTATTACGCAATCACACGGAACTATGGGTTGCCTCTCCCTTTATCGCTTCCTCTGAACTTCACTTAATATTGCAACTGCCTAAAGGGCGTGAAAGATGTGACACGCTCCGGGCCTGAATGTGAAAGTAACAGCATTCTGGATTTCCTAAGAAAACATCTGACTGACTTGCGGCATTCAAACAATGTGTTTGCTTTTTTGTAGCTGGAAATACGGCTGTACTGTAACGGCTCATCCGCGTTTTTCCTCGGTGACAAACGGTAAAAAGGATTCTTCAGAACAAGGAACAAGATTCATGTTGTTACATAGCATCCCAATTAAGTTTTTATTAATAATTGTACATGTAGATAAATTAATTAAATCTAACAGCTGAGAGCGGAGTTCTTCAACAGGGGGTCCATGAACCCTAGGGGGTCCACGGAGGTGCTGCATGGGGGTCGCAAAAGTTTTGGTTGATTTTTCTTTTTTTATATTTCCCCCTGCAATTTTTTCCAATAATTGAAATGTCTTTAAATAGATTTTATGAATTCAACACACTGTAGTAAACAGAAAAATGGAGGCAGAAGATGTCTTTCAGTCATCAATGAACACATTCAGCGACAAACAGGAGCTCTTTCAAGCTGGGCACCGTTTCATTCATAACACCTGTCCCATCAACCAGGAATCAGAATTAGAAATGCTTTAATAATCCCATGGAGAAATTACTTTCGTTATATTACTCCATATGTAATAGAGTGACTATAGGACCAGTTTGATACAATTTCTAACAATATATATAATTAGGGGTCCTCGCTCCATCTCACCATCAGTTTTGGGGTCCTTGGCCTGGAAAACATTGAAGACCCCTGGTTTAGAGAATCCTTTTACATTCTTAAAGATCCTACCTCATCAAACCTCATCTTCTTCTATCGTTTATTGTGTAAGAGTAGCTGCCACAGATAATGACGGCCAAATCAGCACTGATTGATTAAGCGAGAAGAGGAGGAAGGAAGGGAGGGGTCAATAATGAGCAAAAAAGAGTGAGGGGCTGACCTCTCTCCTGCACTGTCAGACAGATAAGAACAGTGATGGAGACCCTCAGTGGACTCAGGTGACCTTTCAACATCCTTATTTGCAAATACCCTCTAACATTTTTAAACCTTAAATCCTATAAAGCCTCAATGTCCACCGTTCCATCTGTAGGTTGACTTTTTTCTAATGCAAAATTTCCTTTTTAATTTCCGATTATTTCTGTTTTTAAATGAGATTGTGATGACAGGACATAAAGACAAGTTATTACGCTGGATGCCCATTACTTTTAAAAAGGACTTCATAGGAAAATCCTGTTGTTTTGTAAATGCTTTCTTTCCTGTTTTTATTAGGGAGGTTAAATGTTATATTATAGTGCCAAATAAATATCGACCAATGGGGGGTTCTTAAAGCCAATGCCTTTTATTTGTATATCAGTCTAACCGATCCCCAATATGAACTCATGATATTTCAGTGCCGGTTCTTTGAGCCAATGTTGCTTTTTCTTCCTTCATTTACATGCAAGTACCAACAATGATAACAAACTTTACACACATCCCAGTCGAAATAAAGAAATAAAAAGAAAATCTAGTAAAAAATCAAACCAAACATTAACAATGGAGAGCTAATGGAAGTAGGTTGCTGGATGCACCCAGACTTTTCTCCGTGGGTCCCCCTTTTATTAAGGAGGAAGTTTTTTCTCCCCTGATTCTCTAACTGCACTCCAACCTTTCCAATAGATCAATAAAGAAAAGTCAGCAGCAGTAAATATTGCAAAAAATAAAAAATAAACTACAGCCTATTTTAAATCGCAAAAAATGCAACCTTTAAAGTGTAGTTACTTTAAGTTTAGCCCTTTATTGCTATCAATAAACAAATAAATCAAACTCTCAAACCTGGGGATGTATTCAATTAATTTCTACCATGCATTTTTTCCACGGTGCTAATGTTTAGCCAATACGTACGCGTATCAGCCAATACTGATTGAGAAAAAAACAGCAATAGAAACCTAACTTATCGATGAGTCGATGCATCGGTTTGTCTTCACACCCAAGCACAGATAACGTTCCGGTTTGTTTGGTTTCTGAGTCACCGGTCCTGAGGCAGCTTCACTAACTGATCACTGGAGAGAAATACATAGCATGGAAAAATTTTCCCCTCTTTTCATTTTTTAATGCAGGAAACATGCCTCACTGCCAAGTCTAACCTTAAGTCTGTTTTTTAATCAAATTAGCAGTTATTCTATTGTGTAGACAGACCTGTTTTAATGACACTGTTCCAACTTGTCAAATGTTCCATTAGAGAAGTAATTAAATCTTCAAAGTTTCCAACAATATAAATTACAGATTAATAAGCTCCGCTTCAAATCGGATTCAATATATAAAACTCAGGAAAATACCAAAATCATACCTGTCTTTATCATTGGACATTTTGTGTATGATAAATAGTTGTCCATAGTTTGAAATGTTAAGATGGATAATCTAGTATTAGTATTATTATTATTACTACAATATTAAAGGGAGAATGAAACTAATCCATTTAGCACTTCAGTCCAATATGTAAATGTCTCAGATTTAGGAACTGCTTACTATCTGAAGACCCTAGCAGGTTAAAGTAATAGATTACATGCTTATTAAGTTACTAAATATATCATATGATACAGTTATTAATCCATGTATTATCAAAAGATAAATTAATTGCCAAATGCTGTGTTACCAGTTAGGCTAGCTAGAGGATTTAATGTTCCTCAGTTCTGTTGATAGAGTAATACAATGATCTCCTGTCAGTGAAAGCTGAAAACCAAGAGGCATTTTCTGTGAGCAGGAGCTAATGTTGCTCATCTGTGTAGAGATCTTATGAACAGAGTTTTGACATCGTTTATTTTTTAGCGTTCAGAATACAAAAGGTAAAATACCTAATCTGAGAGTACGTATTTTCAAGATGAGTAAATAAACTCTGAACGCATATCAGCTTTAAAACCTATTGGTGGCAGGATCATGTTATAAAATATGTTAATTATTATAAACAATGAGCAAAGCTATAGTAGCAATTAAGAGATAAATCCAAAAGAACACCACTGTTAGAATTAGTTTATTGCCAAGTAGGTTTTTATATAACTATAGATCAGGTTTGATCTATACAATGTCACGGGGGTCTCTGGGCCTTGTTGATAAGGCAGGTAGCAGATGGGACGAAACCTTTCTGGTGGCATGAGGTTTTGGTCCTGATGGACTGCAGCCTCTTTCCAGCGGGCAGTGTTTGAAATAGTTTGTGATCAGCCACAATCTTCCTTGCATGCCTCAGAGTCCTGGAGAGATGTAAGATTGCAGCCAATCATCTTCTTTGCAGACTTGATGACAAGCTATGAGGTGCATAGACTGGTGGGTAGGCTAAATTAAGAGTTTTAAATGTTGCCTCAATGCAAAGAGATCTGTGTTGTGTGTAATACAAAAATTGCTCAGGAATTAAGCACCTAGATCCCAAGTTTGTGTACAATTAACTTAGTTGTTATTAGGTTCAACAAATTGTTCAGCATGGATAGAATCCAGCTTTTACTTACAGCCATGGTTGGCCTTTGACATGCTCATGTTCAAGATACAATGGTGCAATATTACGAAGAGTTTCATCATTTACCTGCACACTGCTTCTTGACACAGAACTACAGTCATCCCAGCATTTCTCTAGATGACAGAACAGCCGAGTAATGATGGAAGTCCTATCTTTGTGGTTTATATACAGGAGATTGCAGTCCTTGTAATAGTCATGTGTAACATTCTACAATGATTTTCATTAAAAGAATAAAACTTTCAGATTGAATTTTACAAAGCCCATGGGTTAAAAAAGGTGCAATCGTTATTTTAGAAGTTGCAGTATTGCACTATTTTTGCACGCCACTTATCACTTTACTTGGATTTATCACTTTAGTTGGATATTCACTTTATTTGGATTTAGTTTTTACATATGCATAGATATACATACACATATATATATATATATACAGAAGAGCTATATGTGTATATATTTTATCTCTTTTTATTCTTATTTTTTATCTTTATTATATTGTGTAGTTGGATGTGTATATATCTATCTATATCTATATATATCTATAGATATATATAGATATAGATATATATATATAACTGTAACTGGAGCGTGTAACAAAAGCAATTTCCCTCTGGGATTATTAAAGTATTTCTGATCTGATTCTGCAGTGCCGTTTTTCTGCCGCGAGGGGGCGATGTGAGTTTAAAATGACAGAGCAGCAACCGGCCGAAAAACTCGTTGACTGTGTGTGTAACGGGGAGCATCTCCTCTCAGGCTTTAACGCTACGAGTGAATGATTCACAGGTTCCGCAAAGTCATTTCAAAGCCTCTGCTGCAGTCACTGTGCAAGTTTTCTGTGTTGCGCCATTCTCGAAATCTTACGTCCAAAATGGCTTTTCAGTATCCCCAAGCTTACCGCGATGAGGCTGTTGTAAGTAAAGGGGACCTGCTAACTGATTAGCTGAGCTAGCTAAATCACTGACGGAGCTCATTCATTTCAATGGGCGTTCGCTTTGTTAGCATGCTACTTAGCTTAGCTAGGTGGCTAAAACCAGGCTTTGGGGTTGACCAAACAAATATATACTAATCATAAGAATAAAACTTATACACATAACCTAAGATTAGTGGCTGGCTAGTGGTCGCTTCATTATCCCAGCTCCTAAAGTGACTTTACCACACCTACTAGCTGGTAATTCTTTTTAATTATTATTATGTTTAACTGTATTTAGGTGGATGACTACCATGGCTGCAAAGTACCGGATCCGTACAGCTGGCTGGAGGATCCAGACAGTGAGAAGACACAGGTAAATCCTAATTTGTCATGGTGCCACAATCCATCACAAGCACAGAAAAACCTACATGGATAGAAAGATGACACATTCACAGAATAGACTGTTTAAAAGATTTTCTATTTTATGACAAACAGATTTAAAAGAGTTTTAATATTAATTGCAATTTATAACAGAATGGGCTCTATGCACAACTCCGCCGCTTACTGAACTTAAGGCAGCTCTTTTTTCCCCTGTCTTTTTCTACTGGATGATCTGATTCATCCAGGCGAGCCTGACCTCAGTAACCATGGCCAAACACACGTGGACGAATCAGTTCATTAAGTAATGAAAGACAGGAAAAAAAAAAAGCTGCCCTAATTTCAGGAAGTAGTGGAGTTGTGTATAGAGTCCCTTGAAACTGCTTCAAAATTGTTGCCTGATAACAGTAACATGCATATTTTTTGGTGATGGTTAGTTTGTTGTTGTTTATGTAATCCAGATCAGGATGTGCACTTTACATGATGTAAACACGGCATTTTCATGTTTCTGTTTTTTTTGCTGCTTTTAAAAATGTCAACTTAAGTTTCCACAAAGCCTTTTTTTTTTATAGCTGATTCATGCTTTGGATCAGCCTGTAAAATGTAAAACTAACAGTAACCAGCGATAATAACTGGTATCAATAAAAATACTTTGTACTGATATAAAATACTAAAAATAGAAGGCTAAAGAAGAATGGATGCAGAAGTATTGTATCATAAATGCCTATTGTCATCACAAGAAGCATTCCTTGCGGCATTGAGGGAAAAAGATTGTAGCATCCCTACTGAAAAATCTAAGCTTCTCTAAGTTACTAAGAAGTTTAATAGAAAACTCTCACACTTTAAATTTAGTTTGCATGTGCTAAAGCAAAAAAAGTGTTATAAATAACTTATGAATAAATAATCAGTGTTTCAATTTTTTTTTTTTACATCTTTAACCAGGCATTCGTCAATGCTCAGAACCAGCTTACGTTGCCATTTTTAGAACAGTGTGAGGTCCGGGATCTTTTCAAGGAGCGCATGACTGAGCTGTACGACTATCCAAAGTATAGTTGCCCGTTTAAGAGGGGAAACAGGTGAGATGAACTGTGATGTCATTTAACGAAACTTAGAAATCTAAACTCTGATGGTTCGGCTCCCATAAGATGTTTTCTATCCTACTTTTTAGGTACTTTCACTTTTACAACACGGGTCTTCAGAACCAGAGTGTAATGTATGTGCAGGAGAGTTTAGACGCTGAACCCACTGTCTTCTTGGATCCAAACACATTTTCTGAAGATGGCACTGTTGCTCTTCGAGGTATTAGTGGCCAAATATCTCAATGTATCCCGTGTTTTTTGTTAATAATAAATTTTCATTTTGATTAAAAATAACAATGTTAATTATCTCCTCTGATATGACCAAGGCTATGCATTTTCTGAGGATGGAGAGTACCTGGCCTACGGCACCAGTGCCAGTGGGTCTGACTGGGTAGAAATCCACTTCTTGCGAGTGGAGGGCGCCGTAGAGCTGGAGGACCGCCTTGAGAGGGTCAAATTTAGCTGCATGTCCTGGACTTATGATGGGAAGGGACTTTTTTACAATTCATATCCCGAACAGGACGGAAAAAGTGATGGTAAGATGAAAATTAGTAGTGATTTGTTTATTATAAACATATACTCTGATACATTTTTTTGGTAATATTTTCCCCTCGTTGCTCCTCACAGCTGTGGTTAATATGATGTTCTACCTTCCAGGCACTGAGACCTCCACAAATCTGCATCAGAAGCTTTACTATCACATCCTGGGGACTCCACAGTCTGAGGATGTGCTTTGTGCCGAATTTCCTGACCACCCCAAATGGATGAGTGGGGCTGAGGTAGGCTTCCAGTTTAATCTCCTTTAACCTTTCAACTAATTCAACTGCAGACTAAAAGGTGCAAATGAATTTCTAAGGTGGCGTCTAGTGATTGGAGAATCTTTTCAGGTATCAGATGATGGGCGCTATGTGTTGCTGTCAATCAGAGAAGGCTGTGATCCGGTCAATAGGCTTTGGTATTGTGACCTGCAGACGACATCGCAGGGCATAACTGGTACGTATTCTTTTTATTTATTCATGATATTTTAGTTAAAGTTATTCCCAATTTCTTTTGTCAAGAATTTATTTATTTATTTATTATTTAATTTATTTATTCAAATCCATTAGATGATTAAACCTTTTTCAGAAAGTCATTCTTATGTTTCTAAAATGCAACAAACTCTGAGATCAGAAACCTTTGCTTTGTTTTGTTGAAACTTATATTTAATTTCATGTTGTACAGAACTTTAAATTAACTTTGTCTGTTTAGGACTTTTGCCCTGGATAAAATTAATCGATAACTTTGACGCGGAGTACGAATACGTCACCAACGAGGGAACATTGTTTACCTTTAAGACCAATTTAGACGCCCCGCGTTACAGACTCATCAACATCGACTTTGCCTCTCCTGATCAGAGCAACTGGAAGGAGCTGATCCCCCAACATGACAAAGATGTCATTGGTGAGCCTTTGAAATATTATCATCTCTATAGTTTTAGTCTGAACTTGTCAGTCGGTGCATTTATTGGGATTTATGTCAAAGACAAGCTCAGCATCGTGCATAATTCTGAAGTGAAAGGTTCTTATAAGAATAAATAATTTAAGTGTATCATGTTTTTGATTTCAGCTTCCCTGATTTATACCACAAAGTCAACCACCTGCTACATATTTAGCTGTATATCCTTTAAGGATACTACACTAATAGCTCAAGCTCAGTCAGATTTAATAAGGAACATCAATTTCTTCTGTTTTTATAACAGACTTAATTCAGATTAGGAGCTTGGGATATTTTTTTTCTATTAGCTAACAGAGCTTCAACCTCCTCAGCTTCATCCCCGTTTCTTTTTGATGGCGTTTGCTCAATAATGTTCTATTTGTATTAGAAACAGTTGTACTCTAACCTTTGGTTTAGTTGAATAGATTTGTATTTTTAAAAATGATGAAAAGTAATCAGACCTGGTTTAGCATAATTACAGTTTTAAAGCAGGTTCCTGATCTACAGAACATTAACATGTACTGAAATCCAACAAAATCACATCAGCATACATAGAAGCCAACACAATCGTATATTAGATCCGTTTTCATTTAGCGGTACCAGAATAAAGGGTCCAAGTCCAAGTGCATCCTGCACGTTTCAGATTCTTATTTTCAAAATCCGGTTCTCCCTTTCCTTCCACTTTACAATTATGCACTACCTTGTGTTTATCTATCGCATATGAATCCACTAAAATACATCAAAGCTTCTGGTTGACAAATGTGGAATTAATACTTCTGTCAAACTGTGATATTAGAAATATTAAGGTTCTTTCTGAGTTTTTGTTTTCTGTCGTCTTTCCTGTAGTATTTGCCACCTGCACGTACTCCAGCTTTCTGTTTGTGTGTTTCCTCCACGACGTCAAGAATGTCTTGAAGATGTATCGTCTGAGCTCAGGAGAGGAGCTGAGAACCTTCCCTCTTGATGTGGGCTCTATAGTGGGTTTTACAGGAAGGAAGAGAGATTCAGAGATCTTCTATTATTTTACCTCCTTTTTATCACCAGGTACAAAATTCTTTGATGTTGCCTTATTTGATTAAATGTCAGTTGTGGAAGCCAGTTTGCTAAATATTAAGAGGATGCATGTTTGTTAACCTCCTCTAATTACACAATTATATTGTTTTACTACTTGTGTACATAATGTACTGGTTTGGGTTTTACTCATTTACTTCCTTCTTAAATAAAATGTTGCTGTTTATTTGATTAATTAAAACTGCTATTTTTACATTAGTGAATAAATACTTGATTGTTGATATTTTTAGATAGAAAATTATGGGGTTTTATATATATTTTTTTGCATTCAGCACCATGGACAGTGACTCTTTGTCATTCGATCGTTAATACGATCACAGCAGCAAAGAAAACACAACTTTCAATTTACCCGAGACTGCACCATAATGATACTATGATTCTTCTCTACTATCTGGAAAAACGAAGTGTGTTTTTGTATTTTTATGATAAACTCTCATACATAGAGAAAAGAAAGTGAGAAAATGTCTCTCTAAATTTAGAATCCCAAATGTCCACTGAAAGCCTTTAAACTATCTAATAATCCCTGCCTGCCTCCTAGATAATTATGAACAAACGTTAAATGTGGCTTTTCCCTCCTTTTCCAGCTATCATATACCATTGTGACCTAACTAAGGAGCCTCTGCAGCCTCATGTCTTCAGAGAAGTTACTGTCAAAGGCTTCAACCCTGCAGACTACCAAACAACTCAGGTAAAACCATTTTTAAAAGATTTTATTTATTTGGGTCTGATTATATATTATATGTCCAAATTCCATTCTTCATCATTATTTTGAAGAATGTAATCATTAATTTGTGGATGAATGCTTGAAGAAAACTTTTCCTACTAGAGTCTTAATATGCATTTAAGGTTGTTTTTTTTTTTTCAGAAATCAAACTAAAATTCTAATCATTTGGACCAAAGTAATTTAAGATGCATCAGTCTAAGATCTCCAATTTGCATTTGTCTTTATTAATCAACCAGGAACTTTAGAGTTTTTAGAGCCAGGCTTTCAAGAAAAGTTCTTGCTATTTATTAAAAAAGAAAATTGCAATGGGTTAACCCTGTCATACAACACCTTGTCAACTCGGCGCAAACTCATCAAACAGTATTGCCATTCAGATAAATATTGTAATTTCTTTAAGTTTCAATGGTTTTTATGTTAAATGTTTGTATTGTCTATCAATTGTTAAATGAGCCTTAAGATCATCTGGGAAAAGGCTGTAGTGGAAATGAAATGGTAAACCAAATTAACTATTCTCAATATTACAAATTTGAAAATATAAATGTCAAAGAAAAAAAAAGTCAAAGGACACTTGAACGTCTAAATCCCAGTGATTATGTTTTGGAGCTGGGGTTCTGACTGACCCACCGCCCCTTGCAAGACCCTTCCAGAAAAATAGATGAATAAATAATCACTCATTGTGCACAAACGCATCGTGGACCTACATCAGTTGCAACAGCCACCATCACCCAGGCCAGCCCACACAGCTCCCAGTCCCAGATAAGAGCGTCGCCCCATAGGCCCCACCACCACCGACCTGGAAGCACCAGAGGGCCCCCAGGGAGCCAGAGGGCCATCGGGGGCATGTACCAACCCACCCGTCGTGGCATGCCAAGGGAAGCCCGGTACCCCGGACAAGGAAGGGGGACATTCCCTTGGACAGAGAGGCAGCACTCAAACCCCAGCCCATGCCCGAACACACTGGGAACCCAGCTTGGGGCTAGAGCCACTGCAACAGGGCCCCCAAGATACCTCCGCCCCAGACCTCCAACCCGGTCAGACACCCGACCTACCCAGGTCGGTTATCCTAAGTTCCCAGCTCTCCCTCACCATCCCACAGGCTTTATTCATGAAATGCGTTTACAGGTCGCTCCAATGTCTCTGCGCAGAGGTCCTTCAGGACGTTGATATTTTTCACATTTGTAATATAATTATTGATGATAGACAAAATCTGAATTAAGTTAATTTGGTTGACTGTTTCATTTCCGCTTTAAGTTCAAGGTTCAAAAAAAGAAAGCAATTCTCTAAAGCATCATGTTTTTGATCAAAGTAAGCAATACTAAATGTTAAGATAAGAGTTCAAATCCAGGTAAAGTATATGAGAGATAACTATTTAAAATTTATAATTTTTTTATTTCTTTTTTAAGTAAAGAAAATGTTGCCTTGGTCACGTTTAAGACCTCACAGCCTTAAATAAAAAAGGGTTTTGGTTCTCAACCAGCTCAAGGTTCACAGCCTCTTTTTCTTTTTCTTTATTTTCTCTACTTGTTAGATCTTCTTTCCCTCTAAGGACGGCACGCAGATACCCATGTTTATTGTACACAAGAAAGGAATCAAACTGGATGGCTCCCATCCAGGTTTTTTGTATGGCTACGGTGGCTTTAATATCTCCATCACACCGAGTTACAGCGTCTCCCGACTCATCTTCGTCAGACATCTTGGTGGTGTTCTGGCTGTCGCCAATATTAGAGGAGGGGGGGAGTACGGGGAGACCTGGCACAAAGGTAGGTAGCACCACGATCTGCTTTAATCTTCAATCATGTGTTGAGGTAAAGATTTAAATAATGGTGATACTTTTGGTTTGTTCCTCAGCTGGCATGCTTGCAAACAAGCAGAACTGTTTCACAGACTTCCAGTGTGCAGCTGAGTATCTCATCAAAGAGGGATACACGTCACCTTCTAAACTGACGATAAATGGAGGCTCTAATGGTGGCTTGCTCGTTGGTATGTTAGCTCTCGACTTAAAGAATTTCAGTCCAAAAGTTTGGTTTAGGGTATCTTAAACTGTGCGTGTTATTCCTCAGCTGCCTGTGTAAACCAGCGGCCTGAGCTGTACGGCTGTGCTGTAGCTCAAGTGGGCGTCATGGACATGCTGAAGTTCCACAAGTTCACAATCGGCCACGCATGGACCACAGACTTTGGCTGTTCTGAAGACAAAGAGCAGTACCAGTGGCTCATTAAGTAAGTTTTCTCAGCAAGTGTCTCCATCTTTTCTTCCTTCCTTAGTCTTTTTAACATTTTCCTTACAAAGGAAGTATTTCTGTTTACTTTAATTTACTTTTTAATTTACTCAATTAAAAAGTAAGTTAATTGAAAGAAAGTTTTCTGAACAGTTGTGATAAATTTGATGAGTTTATCATGTTTCCTGTCAGTTTCTCTACCCCAGTTCAAAACAAATGGCTTCTTAAGGCACTCAAAGAGTAAAACTTGTTTATCTACAAATATATGCAATTAAATCAGTCCAATCATATGAAGTGAAAAACTGAAAAAATATCTACTGTATTTTAATATGAATCAATAGTTGTCTATAGGAGAATATTTTTGGTCTCTAAAGGAGCTAAGCTCTCCAAAATAAATCAAATTTGCGTTTAGGTTGTATTTTATTGGTGTTTCAGACTGAGGGAAGGCCTCCAACATTATAAAGGTATAAAAGTTAAACTAAGATTAAAGGATATATGGAGCAAAGGAATAGATAATGCAAGAATCTATTAATATATTTCCCCCTACTCTGATTTAAGTTAATCAAGTGGAGCTTTTTACAAAAAACTTTATGATTTGAAATGTTTCAAACTTACTGATGGCAGGAAAAAAGGCTTTTGAAAATTTAGTTTAACTTTCCAGTATAGCACTTCTAATATTTCTACATCACACTAGGGTTCAATGTATAACTTTAACATCCTGGGACATAAAAAATCTTTGTTAATATGCAAGGTTAAGATGTAAATGCTGATAAATCACAGAATTTATCTTTTGATATAGATTTTTAAGACCCTTTTCTGTCAGATTAGCTTTTGTGTAAATATATATATATATATATATATA